ATCAACATGTCAATGAAAGGTCAGTATTTAATGCAAGATACTATACCGCTGAGTACTGAACCACCAGCGACAACCGAGGATCAATGGTCACCAAGCATTTTACGTATTTATAAAGAAGCCAAAGGCAATTATCTGTACATGGTAAAAAGGCTAATATTTTTGTTAGTTTAATTAAGAATTCAGATTATGCTAGTGCGCAGAAAAGAAGACTATTGGTTCATGAAATATAAATGAGACTAGTTTTTCCTCGACAAAATTCTTAAATTAGGGCTTTCTTTAGAGAGAAGGTAGTTGCAGATACCGTAGGAGTGAGCATATTGAGGATAAGACACTTTTCTACCGATAATGACCAAATGTCGATAGTACTTGTACGTTTTAATCAGTGAAGGAACAGAAATGTTTAAAAGACTTCGTTCTCAGATAGCTGGAACTTTTTGTGCAATGATCTGTGGTCTTCACTTGCCATCCTTATGTCTCATCAGCAAGTATATTTTTGAAGCATTTGCTTCTCAGTCCTATGACGATTATATGATTCATAGGCTATGTATGGCAATGGTGATGTTTTGTTGCTGCGGTTTTGGAGTCACTCTTTTTCAGTTCCTCAGTGTATGCCTTCTGTTGATTAACCGTCGTGAGACAGTAAAGTTAAACAAACATTAATTTTTTTTAAATATTCAATTTTAGAGCATGTTTTATGGAATTGCCTCTGAAAATATGGCTCTTTCGTTCCGAGTACGGTCATTCCGAAATATTCTTCTCCAAGATGCTGCATACTTTGATCAACCGGAACACACTCCTGGGAAACTGATCACTCGCTTGGCTACTGATGCTCCAAACGTTAAAGCTGTAAAAAATTATTTTTTTATAGTCAATAAACTGTTACATTCGCCTGTAACTTACAACTAATTTGAATTTTTTTTTTGATATTCTTAACTTATCTAGCTTAGGTGATTGATTCTCGTATGCTGCAAGTGATTTTTGGAATAACTGCGCTTTGTGTCAATACCATCATTGGCTACATTTACTCTTGGCAGGTTCAGCTTTAATTTAAAATACTAAATACGCAACAAAAATGCAAAAAACTTACAGTTAATGTTTTTAATCGAGTTTTTGATAGGGAATTTTTAGGTGACAACATTAGGATTCGGATTCTCACTAATGCTTGCTGGACTTCAAATATTCTTGGCTCATCTAATTCAAAACAAAAACTTGAAACTTATAGCTGCTGATGAAGCCGGAAGGGTGACCTTATGAACATTTTTT